TCTATCCCTTGCACTGCCTTCTTAATAATTTAAGAACCCTATGATTTCTGGCCAAGCTAAAGATACTATATCCCATCATCCAGAGTTTCAGGGATGTCACCAATTTGTCTTTTATTCTTTACAGAAAGTATTTTTTTTCTTGTAAATCCATAGTCTCCACCATATTTGTCTTCATCATCAATTCTCAATAATAAACTGCGTGAGAAAATTAGGGTCAAATAGCTCATGAAGAAATCATTCAGTTAAACTTTGAAATTTGCTACATATGCTTCATTTCAGTAAGGCTGACGTGTTGTCAGAGGATATCCTATCCCCAGAGTAGTAAGATGACAACACTGCATGGCCCTTCGACTTCATGGAAATTCTAGATGTTATGATACACTTAAGGGCAATCTCTTTACAAAAAGGTTTCACTTATTGTAAATGTGGATTACCTATAGACTCTGAAGCAAGAGTATACTCTTTATAACTGGTAATCATTGACAAGTCAAGTATGTCCCCAAGATTCTTAAGTGATACATAATACTATAAAAATTCCGCCTTAGTTGAAAATGCATTATTTTCATGAAACATAAATATTAACAAATAAATTTTCTACAACTTTCATGTTTTTAGAAAGTGAAGCTCAATACTTAAGAAAATGGCCAGAATCTTTCTTTTTCTTTTCCTCCTTTAATGGAGGCACTGGGGATTGAACCCAGGACCTCATGCACACCAAGTACACACTCTGTCATTGAGCTATATCCCCAATCCGGACTGATTCTTATGTTGTGACTGAGTTAACTGATCTAAGTACCCGATGCCCGCTATGTCACATCAGGCAGCGTTTCTCTTAAAATCAGCGTTACCTTTCTGGTAAGAGGTACCTCTATAGGCACTGGAATCACTTCTGCCAGGAGACATCCATAAAAAGCCACCATAAACATGACTGGATCATTGTTGGGGTAAACCAGGGCCACCTAAAATGTATAATGACATTCAATAACAGAGGAACAGAAACAGACTAATGCTTTCAATGTCACTAAGTAATACACTTGTTTATGACATTTATCATGAACACAATAAATCACGCTATTTAATAGAGTAAAGAAAATTAAATTCTTGAGAAGGATGCACAAATCTAAAAAGATCTCTTGTCATTCCCAAGATTATACCATACACAGTTTGGGGACTATAATGCAATTCATCATCATCACCATAAGAATTTTTCCCTTAATTCTACTGGCAATTTAGCAGTAAACAAGTCACCTTAAGTAAGAAGTTAATTACTTGTGAAATCTAAGAAAATTTACTTTAGTGCAAGGCTAAGCAGTAACATAAATGTGACGGATCTCTCTAGACAGACCAGCATATTAAAGAATAAGCCTTATATCTCCTCTTGCAGAGAAGCAAGCAGAGAAGCACTGATTGACTCAATTGTCATCTTAGGGCAAATCTAAGGTTTCTTACTTTTTAATAAATAAATTCACTGCATTAATCCTCACTCACTTAACCAACAATGCACTTGGTGACAGGCGTAAGTAATAATGGCAAATACTGGCAGAAACTATTACGCATATAAAGTCAATTCATTTACAAAAGATAAACAGTGAAAACTCCATAATATGTTCAAACTTGTGATCTAACCTGTAATACACCCTAGGGACAACTGACTCTTCCTAATTTACCCAAGAAATGCAAAAACACAGTCACTATCATTGCGGAATTTGATACTTGGCTTGGATATTCACAGATCAATATGTGAAACTTACTTATGTCTTTGGATTCTTATCTTCCCTTCTTTTGCTTTCAAATTCTCTTAACTCACTCCCAACATAAGTTCAATTCTGAACCTTCTAGAGTTCTAAAAGTTACTAACTCCACAAGACATTTAAACAACACATTTTCTCCCTGCCCACAAGTGTCCATGTTGTTAGGAAGACACAAAACTACCTTCTTACGGTTCAGGTGAAGATTAGGAAACACTCACATGTCATACTTATAAGTAAAAGCCATGCTTTAGATGCCTTTTGTCATAATGCAAAAGTATTTTTAAAAGGCTGGTTTAGGAGATTATGTAATCATGAGCCTAACTAAAAAGAATTCTGTTGTGGATGTAGTTGGTATTTCATTCCACAACTTCAAATGAAAGTCATGTTTGATGATTAGAAGTAATTATATTTAGAAAGAGGGAAAAAATCTTTAAATACTAAAAAAAATTTAATGTCACCTCCAATTAAAGAAGAAATTAATGATGCTAATTTGTTTCTTCTTAGAAGTAATAAATCTCCCTCCATTTCTACATAAAACTCCAGAAAATTGTTTTAAAAAGTTTTTTTTAATTGAAGTATAGTTGATTTACAATGTTTCAGGTGTACAGCAAACTGATTCAGGTATACATACATCCATACATATATATTATTTTTCAGAGTCTTTTCCATTATGATTTATTACAGGATATTGAAAATAGTTCTCTGTGCTATACAGTAGGACCTTGTTGTTTATCTATTGTTTTAGAAGTTTCATAGGGCATTTTTCAAGGGAAAAAAAATCAAAGCATAAACCTGATTACTATTTTTGTTGTCTATCTATTGAAATATTTATCTCCAAAAAGACTTAGGTTTCTTTTTATTTTCATTAGTACGTGAAGAGTTTACTGATTTGGAGCTAAAAAAAGAGACATTTGAATATCCTTCAAACTATGAATGCTGGAATTATAACCTGGGTTGGGACCAAATCATTTTCATTTTTTAAGAGTAAGAGTTATATAAATTGTGCTGTTGTACATTAAAAATCCAGAATGTGCATGTTAGAAAATACAGCATCACCTCCCTAAAATAAAAAAACCAATTACCCTGTCTCCAGGTTTTAATACAGGTTCATTCTTGGTCCCCAGTTTATTAAGCAGTGTGTAGGCCAACTTTAAACTTCTGCTCCACAACTTTCCTGGGAAAAGAAAAGAAAATACTCATAGAAAAACATACGCCTACTTCAGCAGGAGGGCACTCAGTCCATCAGCACGTTGAATAGGGTAAGGGCCACTGGCAAATGACGCATTACACAAGCATCACCCCAACACACAGAGAGGCCCTCTCCCATAAAGTCTGCTTTACAGTCACACCAGTTTATGAAAGCCAGTCCCACCTTCAAGCCAAAAGAAAACATCAGGACCCCACTCTGATCTATAAAATATTTCAAATTCTTTTCTGAAGTAATCTGAGTGTCTTTAGAAATAATATGAGCTGATGATATAAAGGGAAGGAAACCATTTTTTTTAAATCACAGGACTGAAAATCAGAAGACTACTTCTTTCTAAGCTTTTTCTGAAGAACCACTTACATATATGGTATTAGATACTTGAAGTAAATGCAAAGCAGAAGTATGACTCAAATGACTGAGCATGCCATACCACTGATTTCAGTAAAAACAGATAATAAAATGGAAATTAACTATGTGAAACATGAATATATTCAAAGATGTTACATAAACATGTAAAGACTTGGCTAGCTGACTGCTTTCTCTAAGGGTTATATGGATGGGATTAATGTACAGCTTCTGAAATGAATGCTAAAGACTATCTTTTGGGGGAAAAGCCTATTCTTCCCTTCTTCCTGCTCCTTCCCCTCAACCACCCTCAGAAATTCTTATTTTAGATTATGAAGAAAGTAAAAGAGAAATCATTTTATTTTGCATAGATATGTCAGTTCTACACACAACTCATTTAAAGGGGCAATGAAGAAGGAAACTCAGGTCAATCTGTACAATTCTTTACATAAAAGCTATTTTTTCCTCTAAAATTATTCTCTCTTTAGGTCTATGGACAATGCATACCACTTGCGAAGGGAAAAAGGAATCTGCCTGAATAAACTAGTACAAAATCTCACAGCCAGGTTGAACCTATTCTTATTTTTAAAAAGAAGTAATAAAAATAAACTTGCTTCAAAAATACATAAGGAAAAAATAAGTTATTTAAAAAATAAACACTTTAGCTGGGATGCAAAAGTAAATGGAAAAGTACTGGTTCTCTGTTCATTATAGAATTTCATGCCTATTACATGCAAGAGGCAGGATGAAGTATGTGATAAAGATCTAAAATGAAACCAATTTCAATTTTTAGATAAAATGACCTGATTTTTACCATACAGGATTAATCTTAACATCTTCCTAAAATTTTCTCCTCATGTTTAAGTATCAGTGGATCTACAAAGTTTCTTTCTTCTTTTGGCTCTTTTAAATATTAGCTAGCTTGCAAGTCACTTTAGCAAAAGAAAATACTTGGCCAACAGTTGTACTTAGAACTTAGGATCCCATTTAAAGTAATATAAAAGATCTACTGAAACACAATGACCAGTAACTGCTAAAACAGCAAGATAAAAACGTTACCCATGATAATCTGAAGAACTCTTAGGAGAAAAGGAAGGAGTTGGACCCTTGTAAACTCACCATAAGTAAGCGTGTAAACTGGTTTTCCCGTTACATCCAGTGCAGTCAGGCAGGGGCATTTTGCCTGAGTGGTGCCCCAGCGCTGCAGGGCAGACTCAAGAGCAGGTGGCCAGTTACAGATGACTCCTAATGGCTCTCCCTTCACAGGGGTCATCTGCCGTCCCTCTGGCTTGGGTTGGTTGGGGTCTGGCTGAGGTACTGTGCCCCAAAAACCCCAAAAGGTTATGAGAACAAGATCTGAAGTAAGTACAAATACCAACTAACACAATTTAGGTCTCTAATCTCAAATATATTTCCCCTTTCCCTTCATCTTTATCTGGCTTAAACTCACTTGAGAAAAAGACACCCTTAAAAACGGTAATCCACAAACTGGGCCGCCTTAATTTCATTTCCCCATATAACTGTAATATCATATTTAATATATTTTATGCAACAAATTCTGACCCTTGACAAAGCAAATCATTGAACATATAAAAAAGCACAAAGCATAAAATTCCATTTAGCAATTTTACAATTTTTAGTAAATGTCTTTTTAAATCTTTAGTTTGTGTCCAATGTTAGACAGCCAGGCTTCACTCTACCAGGTTACGTTTAATGAAAAAGCATTGAAGTGTGAGTCAGAAAACCCAAGTTTACCTTCACTTTTTACTAACGTGACTTGGGGGAAAATGAATTACCTGAGCCTCATTTTTCCACATCTGTAAAATGGAAATAGTAATCGTTTACAGCAGGGTCATTACTGGACTCAGGCAAGTAATGGGCATGAAAGACAAGGTTCCTTTTATGTCTCTCTATACCTTTGCACACATCTCATACGGCCCATCCCTCTGCCTCCTGATGAAGTTGTACTCATCCTTCTTAGGATGCAGCTTGAATGGTAAATTCCCTGGGAAGCCGTCCCTGGTCATTCCTTCCTTAGTGCTCTCACACCATGTGCTAGTCCACCCTTACAGGTGGACTAAAAGCACTCAGGATGCTCATGAACTTCTGTTACTGCACAAGTTTTTCTCCCCCTTAGATTGAGAGCTTTTCAAGAGATGACACGGTTCTTATTCCTCTTATTGCCTATAGTGCTTAATACATAATGGTTGCTCAATCAATGTCAATTAAATTGAACTGAACTTTGGGGACAAAAAAAAAACCACTAGATTACAAACATGGTCAATTCCAGAAACTGGAGGTGAATACTATTTCATGTTCTTTTGTATAGACAAAACTAAAGTCCTCTTAATTTGTCTACAATAAGCAAGTATACAAACATTAAAAAGCAAAAGAAAGTCCTATATTTTCATAGCAGGAAAGATAATTTACATTCAGAACAAAAGGTCATTTATTTATTGAGTGCCAATTATGTGCACAGGATGTGATAAACATGAGAAGATAAATGCTGTGCATATCATTCTCTGAACAAACATCTACTGCTTCTAATAATGCCAGGTACACGGAGTACAGAGTCCACGCTCTCCAGGAGTACCTAGAGTGCAATGGGGACACGCTCATACACACAGCTAAGTAAACGTGGGCAGTGTGTGACCGAGATGTGCACAGAGAGGGCAGAAGAGGGCCATGCCAGCCAGGTGAGAGGACCGGGCCCCCACCTGGAGCGGGTTATGCCCGAGCTGAGTCTTCAAGGAAGGGTAGGAATCAGCGAGGTGAAGCGGGGATAAGAGAAGCAGCACAGAAGAGAGAATGGACAGGATGAGCAGCAGGTACTAGAATGGCAAATGAAATAGGAAATAAATTGTATTTTACAGCTCGATTTAAAGACAGGTTTGGGAAACTTACTTAGAATGTCTTCATTCATTTTTCCACTAACAAAAAACTAAGGAAACAGTTTCACTTTCCAATTCACTACCCTAGAGAAATAACATTTGCATATTCCCAGACCCTAAACCATCAGATTAAGTATAAAAATAAACATGGGTGATTCTAAATAAATTGTTTTGTTTTTGATGCAATGGAAATGTTTATGCCAGTTATAAAATTCTGGCTTTTGAAGTGAAAAAAAAAAAAACTGAATGAAGGACCGCAAATGGCAGAATAGCCTTTCTTATGGGTGAGCTGTGTTCCATTACATATATATGCTCCATCTTCTTTATCCATTCATCTATTGATGTGCACTTAGGATGCTTCCCTATCTTGGTAATTATAAAAAATGTTGCTGTTAATAGCAGGGTGTATGTATCGTCTTGAATTAATTCTTATTTTTTGGTTGGCTTTATTCCTTTGATAACTATATAAGTTTAAAAAGCTAAAGCTCTAAATATTCTTAGAAACAATCAACAGTACGTATATGTAAATTTTAAAAATATGTGCAGTATATTGTGTATATATATTTACATGCAATATATTGTATATGTGCAAATTGTTAACAATTCTACTTAATAAAACTGAAAATGAAAAAATAAAAAATAAATAATTATTTTGTTTTATGGACAGACTATATATATGGTAGGCAAAACTCTGTACATTACTGCCGTCCACTAGGCCTCCATAATGCACACCCTGGGGCACAGTCTTCCACACTGTCAAAGACCTATGGGTGTTTTTTTTTCCTCCAAGGTAATTGTCATTCAAAAAAATAACTGTTGCCTATTTAAAATTAGTAGAAAGCTGTTTATTCTGAATGAATGCAAATTGCTCAAGCATGATTTCTACTAAACCCTGACCTTCATCTGCCTAGTCAATACACAGTACTGAAAAGACTGAAGAGGCTGTTGCTGGCATGGACACCTTGAACATCAGTGCATCAAGAAAGATGTCCATAGTTCAATGAGTTTAGTGACTCCTAAAGGAACAGACATTCATCTTAACCTCATACGTCAGGCGGCTTGTTGCTTCTTAATGCACAAAGTGGGCTAAGACCAGATCAAGTCTACTAACATGCCTAGTTTCATTAACAAGTCTGATGTGATCAAAGCCTACTCTTAGTCTCAGGATGTAAAATTGGACTGTAAAGCTGCCAAGATTTAGTTCTTTCGACAAAAGCTTTTGTTAGCTCTAGTTGTCACGTAGCTTCCATAACTATCAAAAGGCCACCCTCAATTTCATCTATGCCTCCATACAGTCCCATCTCAATCCTTCCTATTAAATTCTAGACATTATGTTATTTTACCCATACATATTTTTAAAATAATTGAATGAATAAATCACTATTATCGCTTTCTCTAGTTCAGCCTTCCCTAACTGGATGAAGCTGATTTCTTCCCTTCTCCAAACGGCCTGTATTAGTTGACACATATTTATTGGCTAAACTCAGTTTTTATGTGTAGAATTTATTTTAGCACCAGTCTAAACTGTAAAGAGCATGCCAGAAGAAGGAAGCGACTATTTTCATGAAGCTTTTTCACTACCTACCATGTTAAAGCAGACATATGTATGTGTTGACAAAACGACCGGGTTGTATCAAAAAAGAATGGGGTCAAATCTGACATCTGTATTCTAGGATAATGCCAAATATAAATAATTTTAAAAATTACATACTTGTTCCTAATTTCAAAGAGCATATTCCCACGGATATTTCTATGTTCAATAGCTATCTCCTTGTTTTCCTCACCCCTCGCTCTATTTTTCACCTGAGATCTAAAATATAAACGATCCTTAGGAAAAAAAGAGCAGACAGCTGTGAACTCTTTCACCCCCAAAACAATGCCTTGTTCATCCTTAAGTCCTATAATACCTAACATGTAGTAACTGCTTAGGAAGCTTCTCCTTAAGGAGTATACGTGTTTGGTATTGCTACTAATACCTTCCACAATTTCTTCAGAGTCATCCACAAAAAATTCTTTTAAGGGAGGCCTTTTGGGTCGTTTCAGAGTGTTGAGAAGCTGCTGGATTTTTGTGGATACTCTGCTACTGACAGGAACACCTATAAAGGAAAAAATCATAAGTTAAAATTTGATTTTAGGGGTATTTTAGTTCTTCAGTTCTCTTAGGAGTTTTTATTGCTAATGATGCTTGGCCTTTGTCCACAGTCTCATTCTATTTCATCTGGGCCAAACAGGTAGAAATATGCACACGACAAGTTTTATGACAATGAACAAATGGGATGCTGTTATTAATACACTGTTTAAAGATTTATCTAACCTCCCTTTTCTCTCATAGCATTCTCTTCTTTTTCCATACTGTTTTTTCTTTCAAGATATCTTTTTGAAAGTACAGCCTAAGTCTGAACAAGTGTCAGTGCTGCTACAGGGCAGACTGTTGGAAAGAGGGAGCTCAAGATGCCTTGTGTGAGTAGGTCAGCTGCAGTGTGGCTCTGTGACTGCTGGACGCCAGGCACTACTGTTTGTAATTTGAATTTTTTCAGCTTAACTAATATTCTCTATTAGCTACCAAAAAGAGCTCCCTACCATCAGCTGTATCCATAAGGCTGGACCTGTTGGATCCTTTGTGCATGCCTTTAACTATCCCCGAGGGGGGCAGATCAATATTTGCTGGGCGTATTGAGGAAGATGATGACGAAGAAGAGGTAGTTGTAGTGACATCAGGGGGAGCAGAGAAATTCTCTAAGAGGGGAGAAAACAAAACTTAGAATTATATTACGTTACCAGTAAAAATAAGAACCTTTAAATCTTTTTTTTTCTTTTTTGGTTTTTTGTTTTTTTAACACAAAAGAAAACGACATGTACAGGGCATTAGCTCTTACAAAACAAACTTTTAAATCAATTCTATCAGCAAGACACAATGAGAGAGAAAGAAGTTAAGCCAGGGCATATTAGGTTTCTAAAATTACTATTTTTTGAGAACTTGAGTAGCCTTAGTAAGATCAAATCATGCAGCAAATACTTCTCAAAAACCTTCTTTCCTACACAGAAAGTCTGGCAGAAATTCAATGTTATAAAAATAATCAAAATAAAATAAAAATTGCAAGTGACTTCAAAATGAAACCAAAGTATGATCATAATGGCTACAAATATTCTAGTCTCTTGAGCATCTCTTCATGTTTACGTTGGTTTATCTATAATATCTCTTCTTCCACTGGAGACAGAAATAGTGGCTTAGCAGTGGGTCGGATTGCTCAAGCTCCCAGATGAAGAAAACCAGATGAAGTCCACTTTTCAATTTTTTATAAAATAACCCAGGGGTAACTTGGGTCACTTGACAGATAAAGTTCTTCCCTTGCTCTAAAAACATGACTAAAATGTTATTGGATTCTACTTCATGTAGGGATTTTGTTTTTTTAAGGGAGGGGCTGGGGATTGAACCCAGGACCTTGCATATGCTAAACACATGCTCTACCACTGAGCTATACCCAGCCACCCACCTTGTAGGAATTGTTAATGTAAAGAAACAATGAGATAAGTTGGAAGAGAGTCATTCAACAGGAATGTGTTACAAAAAACTTACGGGGAGCAAAAAAGAAGTGAGAAAAAGAAAGTTATAGGAAGCAAAATATATCATTCACAAGAAAAATGAAAAGCCATTCATAACTACGAAAAAGGGAAAAAACATAATATAAACAACTTCTAAAATCAACTGGGAGTTAAGGTTTCCATGTCCCCAAAGTCTGTAATTACTAGTTTAACAATTTTTAAAGTTTTAAAAACTTTACTAGCACAAGTATACTGCAGTATATTCTTTCTGTAGGATAATGAGGTAACAAAGTATTAAATACAGACTTTTTTATTTGACCCAGAAACTCCCACTTAATAGGAATACATCCTAAGAGGAAATAATCAAACAAATGCACAAAGTCATGTGTTAAAGGATGTTTCATTCTAGTATTCATAATAGCAAAAAACTGGATACTTGAATGTCCAAAAGAGGGGAACAGCTCAGGGCATAGCCAGAGTGGCATATTTTGAAATCATAAAAACAACAGTCTAATTATATATTAATGATATAAAAGATGTCTGTAATACACTGCCAAGAAAAGCAGGTTATGAACACTGTATTTAGTATAATTTCATTTTTGTAAAAACAAAACCAAAACCTTCCATATTTATATACAAATAAAGTGTAGCAGGATATACATGACGGTGATAAGACTGAAGGGTTAGCCACAGAAAGTGGGTTTACAGGTTATTTTTCTTTTATCTGTATTTTCAAATTTTTCTATTAGAAACATGAAGTGCTTATTAGGGCAAACATCCAAAAGGCAACAATGTTGGACAAAATGTTTCTGTGAGTACCTAAACCACTTAAGTTTCCAGAATTGAGGCAATATGAGATATGAAGTCAGATGAAATCATCTTGCTAAAAAAATTCAGATAAAGTTAACTGGGTATCAGGACAGTATTTTTAACAAATGAAACTGCTTTTAGACAAATGTGGGGATGAACCCTGACTCCACCATGGCCCTGATGCCTGCCCTCCCAAAAGAAGAGGTGGTGAGCATGCTCATCTGCAGCTGCTCTGGGAGGTTCAGTCAACCAAGGGCAGAGCTGAGAGCAGAGGACAAGTCATTAGCTGCTGGCACTTGGCCTTGTAATGTGGGCAAGCATATCCTCAAGGCAGCTATTTTCTAAAAAATTACAGGCTTGCATTCAAAGACTTCCAAGTTTTTCTTTTCAGAAATCAATTAACAGAATAAAGATATATATATAAGGTGATACAGAAAGGTCACTGATATAAAAATTAAAACACCAAAATGCAAATGATTGTCAATAAAAAAGGAAAAACCATCACAGACACCTGATGTTCATATACATCACTTAATGCTATGTGTACCAACCAATGAAGCAAAAACAGAGATCCGGGTTGTATCTTTATCTGCAGATGTCACAGACTCTTAAAACACAAACACACACACACAAACATAAAGCAGAGCCAAGCAAAAGCTATACTCCATACAGGAGCACCAGCAGCAGGGAGCAGCTCACACAGCGCCAACATCCTCAGCCTGCACACTCCAGTTGCAGCAATAGCACAGCAGCAAGGACAATAAATCCAGTCTTTATGCTGAAGACACAAGGGTCTCAATGACATTGTCTTAGTTCAGAATTTGCTCAGGTTTGATGTTTTTTTGTTTAAGAGGATGCAGACAACAATCCTGGGAAAATCTAAAATGTTACACCTTTTAACACCTTTTAACTGATAGAATATTTTCCAACAGGGATAAACCGTGCTAAGACTGGTGTTATATCCTGCAGCTTGAGCATTGCTTATGGAAATAGCTATGGCTTCAGGTGGGCAACACTATGCACCAATAATGCAGACACTCTCTATCATTCCAAATGTACTGCTGATGTGTCCTTCTTTGCTCATTAACTGTCATGTTCTTTCTCATTCTGTTTTTTTAGACCACTCTGAAAAACCTAATACAAATCATAGACTATTTCCTGGATGCTGGGAGCCAAATGGAACACAATTTGAGCTTCTGAGGTAGATCCAGCTCCTACCTATTCGAGTATTGGCAAATACATCAGCTAGAGACCCACTGGTTCCTTTGACCTCTCCATGGGACAGCGTAGAAGATGCAGATGAAGAAGTGGACGATCCCTGAATTGAACGGTTGATCCAGGACTCAGGATTCTGTAAGCTCTGTTGCAAGGCAGCAGAGAGCGCAGCTTGGCGTCTCAGAGAGCCCTCATCCTCAGAGGCCGAAGACGTGTCTGTGTGGAATTAGAAAAAAAGAAGTTCTCGATCCTGCCTACAACAGAGACCTTTCATATCTTTCTCATTGATCACACATTCAATTGGATAGCAGCAAAACATTCATATTCTTAAGGTAGATTAATATGTAAAGTTTCTTAAGAATCTCAAGGAAAGATTTATGAACCAAAGCCTGCAAAAATAAAATAAAACAGCTGAAATCTAGAGCTAATTTGAAGCTCTTTTAAAAAAACCCTTACAGACCATTTAAACTTCATTATTTTTCTGTTCTGAGCTTAATCAGTATCTAAATTCTTCTGGCTTATTCCTTATGTTCAAATAACACTGAAGTGCTTCTCTATCTTCCTCAGCCTCTATTAGAGAACTCTGTGATAGGCTCCTACACTGATTTTGACAAGTATGTGTTAGTGTCTACTTAAAAGCAAATGATCTTATATTGGATATATAAAAACTCATTTTTGGTAACAACAGCTAAAGTGCCAAATAGTGAACTAGGTGTTGGGGAACTGATGTGGAGTAAGAAACAGTGCTCAGCCTGGAGGCAACTATGGTTTTAGGGGAAAAGCTAGCCAGTCACAGGGCACAGGTCAGCTCTCCAAATGTGACTGGAGAGGACGGAGATCTGTATGTTTCCCAGTCAGAGAAAACTGAGAAATTCACTGAGGACTGAATTTAGACTGGCTCTGACTTCAGGAAAGCAAGGCCTAAATTAGAAAAGCATGTTGAAAAAAATAAAAAAGAAAGGTTCAACCAAATATAGGATAACCAAGGGAAGCAGAAGTCAGGAATTTATTCCAGGGCTCTGAGCTTACAAGGCACACAAGTTTGAGCGGCATTTGGTCTGATGTGAGACATCCTTCTAATGATTTTGGGGGTCATAATTTACGGCCTGTGGATTGAATTTCATTCATTTTTTTAAAATCAAATATTCTGTGGTTAGTCTGGCTGAACACTTCCCTCTAACTCAGGTGAAACTGTAGGTCCATGTTCTTACTTTGGTTCAGAGAGCCAGAGATAACTAAAAGGGCTAGAACACTGCTAGCAGCTGACAACGGAAATTTGAACAACAAAAGACTAATTTAACCTAGAAGTCAAATTCTGCAGATCCAGAATAAGAGAGAAAGTTAAAATAATAACTATATCCTTGCTTCCTGCTCTGAACTGCCTAAGACTTATTATCTCATATTGAAGGTGATCTGAGGCCCAAGACTGTTTTCTGTTTGTTTCTTTGTCTTTTAAACAACGTACTACTTAAGTACAATATGTGCCAGGAACCATGTCAGGTTCTGGGCATTCTTAGATGTATGAACTCCTATGAGACAGTAAATGTCCTGAAAAGGCGTACCATCTGGTACAGGAGACACACAACTCCTCATACTATTCCACACGAATACAATAGATGCTAAGAAATGGGGTAATAAGCAAAGGATTTCACAGGATGGGTACCAATCTCAGTCAGGGATTTCAGATACTTCTTTGTAAATGGAGCAGACTTTGAAGAGGTAAGGGGCAAAAGACAGATGAGGCTGGAGAGGTAAACAGTGACCAGACCCCAAAGGGATAAAGCAATGAAGTGCTTGAAAGGGGATAGAGATCTATAATCAAAAGGAGGGTGATTAAAGGAAAATACAGAGAAAGAAAAATAACAGCATCTGTAACCTTTTACTTAAGGAAAGCATTTTTGCATAATTTCCAGGAAATATTCTAACATTTCAACTGTACCTTAGGAAGCAGAGAATTCTGTCTATGCAAACATGCTTTAAAAAAAAAAAAGTGTGTGTGCAGGAAATGGGACAGGTGAATCTGACCCTAAGAGCAAAGAATTTTCAGGATAATATATCTCAAGATCCCAAAGACTCCTGGGTTTGCAGGCTGTCTTCATTGCATCATTTATTTTAATCTGTGTAAGTCTAAAATCAGAATAACCCAATTTAAAAAAGATAGTAAAACTAGTATTTTCATGATTAGGTTTATGGAAAATTGGCTTCATTACATTTCTATATTGGATCAATTATGTAATTAGGCATATTGTTTCAATTCAATTACCTCATTTGCCTGCCAGTCCTCCTCAGAGTGTTTAGTGACTACAACTGTGGGCTTAGTGTAGTGGAAAAAACATGGATTTGGTGTCCTCCTTCTATTCGCACGCTGGGGGTCACCACTTCCTAGCTATGTGACTTAAGGCCAAAAGTCCCCACCCGAGAAGGCTGTTTGCTTGTCTGTCCATTCAACAAATACTACTAAGCACTACACTAGTTGGTAGGAGTACAATGGTAAGCAAGAAGACACAGTCCCTACTCTAACAGGACTTAGAATCTTACAGGAATTTAGAGCAGGCATCCAAGGAAGGGAGACCTCAACCAAGTCTGGAAGGGTGGGCAGGGATTACTTAGGAGGGGCACAGAGGCGGGGAGAGAGACCAGTCAGGCAGAGGAACAGAATGTGAGAAAGCTTGGAAGGGACAGAAAACAAAGCACATTTGAGGGTCTAAAAGAAAGGAGACGAGCCGAAGCACAGGATGCAAAACTGGCTGTGCTGAAAGATGAAGCTGGATGAGTAGACAGCACCGTGTTATTAGGGGCCATGTCGGTCATGCTAAGGAAACTCGCCTTTGTGCACATGGCTGTGGGCGGCCACGAGACAAGGTACAAAAAGCACCCCCAGCAGTGCTGGCAATAAACATGAGGCCCTCTTCTCCCCTGAAAAACCCACCCTATGTTACCTCACAGACACAAAACTGTGGCTGTGCAAAGCTTATAGCTGATCACGTGTTAAGATCACACAAACTGTAAGCACTGCTTAAGGACTCTTTTTAAAAATAAAATCGAGCCCCCTTAAATATTCATACATTTATTTGGCAGCTTTTTTTTTTTTTACATTTTTTATTGATTCATAATCATTTTACAGTGTTGTGTCATATCTGGCAGCTTTTTAAAAAAGTAACTGTCACCAAGGAAATTGCTATGGATTAGCAGAAAACTGGGCAATACTGAATTAATAATAATAGAAATAAAGTTATCATTTTCCCACTGATTCTGCTCTGGTTGAACAGGAACTCACAACTCATCTATCATAAACAAAGTCCCCTGCCTAACCTCTCATATATGTTGAATATAATAAGTCTACACAACAGAAAACAATTTTGGAAACATTTTTTGCCCTTCAGTTTATAACTGCTGTGATTTTAACACAGCACCATTAAATGTTGATCACCAGAAGCCTAAAATCCATTAATAACCAATTAGGAAACTAAACAATTAGCCTGTGGATTTTAAGGAAAGAAAGATCCCGAATTTGCTACCTGTTCTTAACTGCTATAGCACTTTAAGTCTTTAGCCATTTGTGGAAATGATTTGTAGAAATGATTCTCCTCTTCTTGGTAGAAAACATATCTATTACATCTAAAAATGTTCATCTTAAAATTTAAAATGCCTACCCTATTATCTATCCATTCCACTCCTGGGTATCTGCCTAAGAGAAATGAAAGCATGTATCTATACAAGGACTTGTACATGAATGTTCATAGGCGCTTTATTTGTAATAGCTAAAAATTAGGATCAACCCAAATGTCTATCAACAACTGAAAGGATTAGCAAATTGTGGTGTATCTTTATGCTGGAATAGCACTGGACAATGAAAAGGAATTAATTACTGATACACACAACAACATGGATGAATCCCAATATAATTATGCTGAGTTACAGAAGCCAGACAGGAGGGGGGGGGAGGAGGAGGAAGACGTATAACTGTGTGATTCTATTTACATGAAAATATGAAATTCTAGAAAATGCAAACACATGTGTAGTGACAGAAAACAGATTAGTGGTTACCTCATGGGGATGGGGAGAGTTGAGATTAAAAGGAAATTATGAAGCAACTTCTAGATGGTGACAGATAAGTTCATTATCTTAATTGTGGTGATGATTTCACAGTTTTGCTATGTCAAACTTAGTAAAGTACATGCTTTAAATATGTTCAGTTTATTGTATGTTGATTAGAATTCAATAAAGCTGGTTTCAAAAGATTTATAGGGGTGAAAATGATGCCCTGGTTAAAGGACGGTAACATCTGAGGGTCAGTCAATACAACCGAAGGGTGTATGGTGCAAGCTGAACAGGTTTCTGCAAGATGGTGCCTGCCACTGGGTTCTGACAGTTGTCACCCGAATTAGACCCAAACACCAGCTTACAACAGCAGGTAAGTCAAGATTCACTGAAAGAAAGATCTCATCCTAACAACTACTGCAAAATATGCCCCATAAACTAGGTCAGAAAATGTCTGAGCTTCAAAGAACAAAGGAAATAACCACCAGGACAATTACTTGTACAATACTGTACAAGAGAAGAAATTTTTGCATGTTATTTGTGTGGGTTGGGTGGGAAGGAGCGGTATCAGGCAGGGAAGTGTCATGTTTTCTTACACTGGTGGGTCAGGGGAATTAAGGACCTTCAGAACCTTGAAGAGAGGCAAAAGAAATTTCTATGTAGGCAAAGAAAGAATCGGAAGCTTAGGAAGGAAAAGCTTTAGGGACTCAAGGAGGGGCACCCTTAGCATGAAAGCATACCTGGAAGAGAATATTAAAAGGTTAGTCCTGGAAGTAGGCCATTCTGAATCTACCTTGGGCTACAAATTCTGAGCAGCTTAATCTAGCACTAAACTCAACCAGGGTGGGTACTGATTCACCAGACAAGGATTACGGAGATTTTTAGAACTACCCAAGAGATTTTTTTAGCATCTCACACTAATCTATGTGCACAGAGAGCTGGCTAAAAATCACCACATATACCCTAATCAGCAAAGGCCCATGAGTGGCCTGACCATTAATATCCAAAGTGGGATACTGATGAGAGAAGGGGTGCTCGCTATTAATCATTACTCCAGGGTCATTCTACCTATAAGGGGTCTCCAAACACTGTTTTTCTGGGTATTGTCCCACATCTATGAAAAATATTACACAAAATTAATATGACAAGTAATACTGGGGTGAGATTAGAGATTT